AACAAACTCTTCCTTAACACTGACAAAACTGTTACAATGATCTTTGGAACTGTACTTAAATTACGTAAACTACAAAATCAACAACTGTGTATCAGAACAAATTCAAATAGCACACTGACAGCAGTCTGCTCTTTTAAATATCTAGGTACAGGCCCGGACTGGCCATCAGGCATATGGGGCAAATGCCCGGTGGGCCGCGATGGCCATGGGCCGAGGCCGGCAGGGGAGATCACAGGATATCCCCTGCCAGCCCCTGCAGGGTCAATGCTATCCGAGCGCCGGCCCTGCTATGTGCCTCCATAGGCCGGTGGGGAGATCAAAGATCTCCCTCACCGGCCCAAAGGCACTGAGATGCGGCCGCCTGGGGAGTGAGGAGAGGATCCCCGGAGCTCTAGCCAGCAGCTCCGTCGAGTCCTCTCGTGAGGACTGAGCGTTGCCGCGGTTACCACGGCAACGCTCAGATCTCGCGAGAGTAAACTCTAGCCTGCAGGCTAGAGTTCACTCTCACCACTGGACCACCAAGGAAGGGAGCACCCTCCATGGCAGCACGGCACCCCCCCATGGAAACCCAGCTTCCCACCCCCTCCCAGGCTAAAGGTAAGAAGGGGGGGGGGATACATAGTTTTTAGTTTTTTTAAATAAAAAAACAAAACAAAACATATTTATAAAAACACTGTGCTATATACACTCACACTAAGAGCACTCATACACAGCACACTAATAAAATAAAAACAGTTGAGTAAGCGCTAAATAACACAAATGAGCAGCAACCCTAAAAAAGGGAATCCCTCAAAAACCCTTTAGGATAAGACACAAAAAAATATAGAAAAAGGGCTGCGCTTAAAAAATTAATATATAAAAGTCCAGATGAAATAAATAAATGGATAAATAAATAAATGAATAAAACAGAAGAGGTCTTATCTTGCAATGTCCGTAGTGCTTAGTCAGAGGTAATACTCTTGCTTTATGTCTTGCTTTCTGTCTTTCTTGTGGATCGTCTCTTATGTAAGATATAAAAACAAATACAAAACCACAATGGTGCAGTATATCTATATGAGTGAGAAATAAAATATAAAGGCTTGATTGCAAACTCACATATCCAAGAGCTAGGACCTGCTCTGGTATAGAAGGCGTACAGCGGTTTAGATCCCCGCTTATGGGATATAGGATGGTTATCCTCCACGTGTTTCCTCCTTCCGTGGTTTAAAAGATGCTCAAATAAAAAGAGACAGCCAATAGTGTTCTCTGCGTAAAATTAAACTCCAATATAAAATAAAATAAAAAATGGATACTCACAAGACAGGAGCAGGTCAACTGCTCCTGATATTTCGCACTGGTGGAATAATCCCCACCTAGGATTGCTTGGAGTCCAGCGGATGATGCCAGGTAATAATAATAATTATATGTGTATTAAAAGATAAGTAATACAATAAAAGATTATAAAATATACTTTAATTGTAACATTACACAATATAAAAAAACCATAAACGCGTTTCGCCAATCGGCGTTATCAATATGGGTAAAGGACCTGATACCTGGCATAAGATCATTTAAATAGCATACTCAATTAACTCAAAAATTGGCGCCAAAATTTGGACAGCCAATCAGATTGCAATAACAAATTACATACAGTATAGCAATAGTAAAACATGAACAATAGTATGTATAAAAGTAAAGCTAAAACAGACATTATAAGTTATGTAATTAGACTTTAAAAACGATCAATGGTTATTTAAAAAAAGGCGAAAGGACTCTAAGGTGCACGGTCACATGACCGGCATCACAGCCGCAAGGGGTTATGGGGTATGTAGTTTGACGCCGGCCGGCACTGCGCAGCCGCCGGCGTCATGAGAGGGAGCTAGGGGCTGGCGTCTGTTCGCATAACAGATGCGTCCAGACGCCAGTGGGGGGAGCGAGGGGCGGGTGTACTGGTGACGGCGGCACGCACAGAACAGTGGCCGCCGTCATCAGGAAGAGAATGGACGACGGCTCACACAACGCTGTGGCCGTCGTCATGGAGATGGAACTAGCAATATAGGCAGAATAAGGCTGAATGGAAGAAGGGGGAAGAGAAACAACTATTATTCCTAAACATATATAAGTGAAGTAAAATAAATGAAGCTGGTAATTAAAAGAAAATATGAAGTAAAAATAAAAATAAATATAGATAAAAATAAATATAAATATAAATATAAAATAAATAAAATAAAAAATAAAAACATGATGGGGAAAGAAATAGGCAGGTAAAAAACAGCATCATATCTGCTCTACTGGATAATAAGAGTAGGCATAATGAGATAATATAAAAACATATGGTTGTAAAGAGTATAATCAAAAAAAAATTGGATTATAAAAAATTAAATAAATCAAAATCAGCATTCAGACCATAAGGTGCAAGGGTTTGGAGTGTATAAACCCACTCCATCTCTTTTTTGCCTAGAATATTTTTAATATTTCCACCCCTCCATGGAACCATACATTTACCTATAGCAATGCATTTGAGCATTTTGGGATCTTTATTATGTATAATAAAATGTTTGGATACTGAGTGATTTAAGTATCCATTCTTGATATTTCTGCAGTGTTCGCTCAGACGTATTTTTAGACACCTTGTGGTCATTCCAACATATTGGAGGCCGCAGGGGCATTCAAGCAGATATATTACATTTTTCGTGGAGCAATTAATAAAATCATTTATTTTGTAAACCTTGTTTGTCCTTTTTGATGTAAATTCCGTTACTTTGGATGGAACATCAAGATTGGTGGATTTACACACAATGCACATTTTACACTTGCAGAAACCTTTTATTTGTGGAAAAAAGGATATAGGGGGGTTTTTTTTAGGATTTTTTTCTCTTGTAAAATTGTTGGTCAGAATAGATTTAAAATTTTGGGCACCCCTAAATATAATATTGGGGCGTTCAGGTATAATTTTGTTTAGTATTTCGTCTTGTTTAAGAAGGTGCCAATGTTTTTTAATGATTTTTTTAACATAATTACTTTTATTATTAAAGTTAAAAATAATTGGTAAAGGCATTTCTGTATCCGTAGTTTTGGGTTTGTATTTTAGGAGTTCATTCCTATCTTTCCCTTGGATCTCCTTAATTGTAGTTTCTAAATCTGATTTTGGATAGTTTTTTTCAACAAATTTGTCTTTTAAAAGATTCGCTTGTATCTCAAAGTCTTTAAGTTCTGAACAATTTCTTCTCAGTCTGAGAATTTGACTTTTAGGGGCGCTGTCTAACCATGGTTGGTAATGACAGCTATTTTTGTCAATAGCAGTATTAACACAAACCTTTTTAAAGAAAGTTTTTGTATGTACCATACCATTTTTTATAAAAATATCGAGGTCTAAAAAATTGATTTGTTCTCTACTGTATTCGCAGGTGAGTATTATACCTCTATTATTCAGGTTGAGGTTAGTAATAAAAGAATTTAGAGCTTCTTCAGTACCATTCCAAATAAAAAACAGATCATCAATATATCTGAAAAAGGAAACCAGGTTCGCTCTCCACGCGTGGTTACCCAAAATGGCTTGTGACTCCCAGTCAGCCATAAACAAATTTGCATAGCTGGGAGCAAACCTGGTCCCCATGGCAGTACCTCTTTTTTGCAGATAAAAGGAGTCTAAAAACCAAAAATAATTGTTGTTTAAAATAATATTAATACCTTCTAAAATGAACTCTATTTGTTGGTTGGCAATTTTCCCTTCTTTGGTTAAAATATCTTTTACAGCTTGACAGCCTATATCATGAGGTATGATCGTATATAGTGACTGAACATCGCATGTCACCAATATAAAACTAGATTTCCATGTAAAATCATTTAAAAAATTTAAAAGAGCCATGGAATCTTGAAGGTATGATCTCATGAGTTTGACTGAGGGTTGTAAAAGGATATCTATATATTGTGAAAGATTACATAAAAGGGAACCTATGCCTGATACAATAGGTCTTCCAGGGGGGAGGGTTTCACTTTTATGGATTTTCGGGAGGAAATAAATTACAGGTGTTATGGGGTGTTGGTTATTTAAAAAGTTAAATTCATGTTTATTTAAAATACCTTGCTCTACACCTTTATTTAAAAATTCAATAAAAACATTTTGGATTTGTTTTATGGGGTCTGCTGTGAGTTTTTCGTATACATTAACGTCATTTAATTGTCTAAGAGCCTCATTTATGTACATATGAGAAGATTGGATCACTATTCCTCCGCCTTTATCTGCTGGTTTGATGACAATGTTTTCATCATTTTGGAGTTCTTTCAAAGCTATCTTTTCTAAATGGGTTAAATTGTGGGGGTCATATTTGTTGTTTTTGATTTTTTCTAAATCTTTTGTGACAAGTTTTTCAAACATAGTAAGGGGAGCAGACTTATAATGGGCAGGATAGAAAGTAGATTTCTTTCTAAGAGAGGTATTAATAATATCATTATTACATGAAGATATTGAAGGAGTTAGAGTGACATTTGGTTCGGGTTTTTCCATGAAAAATCTTTTTAGAGTTGCTTTCCGAACAAATTTATTCACATCAATAAAAGCTTCAAAAGGTTTAAAAGTATTAGTAGGGGCAAACTTAAGACCTTTAGTTAAAACCGCTAGGTGTGTACTGTTTAAAATCTTTTGTGACAGATTAAAAATGCCTCCGTTAGTTACGTTAAGAGAAGGTGCTATCTTTCTAGTCTTTCTCTTTTGTTCGCGTCTACCACTTCTTCTTCCTCTGAATTTAAAATCCTTTTTTTGGGGCGTGAGGGGTGAGGTGTTTGGGCTAGTGTAGTGCGATTGGTTCGGATCTCTAAAAAATGATCCTCATTTTCAAATTCAGAGTCTAATGACAGTAGTTGAAATCTATTAGGATGATTCGGAATTGTAGGTGATTTGGAATAATTCGCATACTCTTTGTGATCGTTGATATATTTCGATCTTTGTGGTTTGGGAGACAAGTGTTTATATTGGGATCCAAATTTATTGTGATATGATGGTGAGGTATTGTGATGATTATGGGGATTGTTTCGGTTGCGTTGTTGAAAAGGATGATATTGGTGAGTGTTATAGTGATTGGCTCGTTGTGGTGGACCACGAAAGTGGTTATTGGGTGCCCTATAAGTGTACATATTTTGTGATTGATGTGATGGTTTGCTTGTACTCTGGTATTGATGGGACTGATATTTGGAGTGTTGTCTCTCTGGATTTTCATATGTTCTTTGTTCGTGATAGGAATTGGTTTTTATAAAACCACTTTTTTGTACAGGGTGTTGGGAGGTGTATCTCTTGTTCAAGTGGTAGGTTCGGACTTGTTTGTTAGAGTAATCTGTTTTATCTCTAATATATTTTTTGATTTTAATGTGTTTTGTTTCAATTTCGACCTTTTCAATTTTACTTTGAATTAGAATAGAATTTTGTTTGTATGCCTGTGTGTCAGTAAATGGCAACAATTTGTCTCGAATATCATTGATTTCTGCATCTAGAATTGACAATTTTTTACTCTTTTTTATTATCAGAGTTTCCATAAGCCCTAGAGTGCAAAGTTCTAACTTATTGTTCCACTCTTCCATAAATTCCAAGTCATCTTGGTCTGAGGTGGGCAACTTAAGTAGCCGTAGACCTCGGGGAGTAATTTGTTCATCAATATATTTTTTGAGAGTGGCTATCTCCCATTTTAGTTTAATCTCTTTACTTAAAATATTTTCTAATTTAATAAACAACTCTTCTTGGCTTATTTTAGGGTAATTCATATGCATAGGACTAATAGTTTCTGTATCGAAGACATTTTCTATATCAATAATAAAATTATTCCTAAAATCAAATATGGACATGATAGGGTTACACAGCTGCTAACTCGAGAGGGAATTAAAACAGAATAAAATAAAAACAGTTGAGTAAGCGCTAAATAACACAAATGAGCAGCAACCCTAAAAAAGGGAATCCCTCAAAAACCCTTTAGGATAAGACACAAAAAAATATAGAAAAAGGGCTGCGCTTAAAAAATTAATATATAAAAGTCCAGATGAAATAAATAAATGGATAAATAAATAAATGAATAAAACAGAAGAGGTCTTATCTTGCAATGTCCGTAGTGCTTAGTCAGAGGTAATACTCTTGCTTTATGTCTTGCTTTCTGTCTTTCTTGTGGATCGTCTCTTATGTAAGATATAAAAACAAATACAAAACCACAATGGTGCAGTATATCTATATGAGTGAGAAATAAAATATAAAGGCTTGATTGCAAACTCACATATCCAAGAGCTAGGACCTGCTCTGGTATAGAAGGCGTACAGCGGTTTAGATCCCCGCTTATGGGATATAGGATGGTTATCCTCCACGTGTTTCCTCCTTCCGTGGTTTAAAAGATGCTCAAATAAAAAGAGACAGCCAATAGTGTTCTCTGCGTAAAATTAAACTCCAATATAAAATAAAATAAAAAATGGATACTCACAAGACAGGAGCAGGTCAACTGCTCCTGATATTTCGCACTGGTGGAATAATCCCCACCTAGGATTGCTTGGAGTCCAGCGGATGATGCCAGGTAATAATAATAATTATATGTGTATTAAAAGATAAGTAATACAATAAAAGATTATAAAATATACTTTAATTGTAACATTACACAATATAAAAAAACCATAAACGCGTTTCGCCAATCGGCGTTATCAATATGGGTAAAGGACCTGATACCTGGCATAAGATCATTTAAATAGCATACTCAATTAACTCAAAAATTGGCGCCAAAATTTGGACAGCCAATCAGATTGCAATAACAAATTACATACAGTATAGCAATAGTAAAACATGAACAATAGTATGTATAAAGGTAAAGCTAAAACAGACATTATAAGTTATGTAATTAGACTTTAAAAACGATCAATGGTTATTTAAAAAAAGGCGAAAGGACTCTAAGGTGCGCGGTCACATGACCGGCATCACAGCCGCAAGGGGTTATGGGGTATGTAGTTTGACGCCGGCCGGCACTGCGCAGCCGCCGGCGTCATGAGAGGGAGCTAGGGGCTGGCGTCTGTTCGCATAACAGATGCGTCCAGACGCCAGTGGGGGGAGCGAGGGGCGGGTGTACTGGTGACGGCGGCACGCACAGAACAGTGGCCGCCGTCATCAGGAAGAGAATGGACGACGGCTCACACAACGCTGTGGCCGTCGTCATGGAGATGGAACTAGCAATATAGGCAGAATAAGGCTGAATGGAAGAAGGGGGAAGAGAAACAACTATTATTCCTAAACATATATAAGTGAAGTAAAATAAATGAAGCTGGTAATTAAAAGAAAATATGAAGTAAAAATAAAAATAAATATAGATAAAAATAAATATAAATATAAATATAAAATAAATAAAATAAAAAATAAAAACATGATGGGGAAAAGAAATAGGCAGGTAAAAACAGTACTGTCTTGCCTTTACTGGATAAT